GGGATCAGGCTGGCACTGCTTCTGCTACACAGAAAAAAGGGCATTGTAACCAACCATGGACAACTTACAACAACATAAAGACCAGAGAGTAGTGTGTAACGAGCTCAAGAAATGTCAAGTCGCTGGCCTCAGAAACAGCCTTGTGAGAAATCTCGATGTGTGTTTTCATGGTGTGGAAATTTGTGTTTAATCTACGCAGCAAAATACTGACAGGAGATCGGCCTTCCATTTCACCATTAGAATAATCTGGCACATAATATCTCAGATGGCGACACTGTGGTACAAAAGCTCCATTTACCTATTTACATGGTAAACCTCGACGTGTTCTCATTTACACTATAAACAATATTTAACATATTTCAGCTGGGAATTTTTATCTTACTGCTCTGACAACCATGGACCTATGCTTAATATAAGCAGGTTAAAACTGATTTTGTTTCACAAACATTAAAATATACATTTTCCTGCAATGCATCTGGTAACTTAAAGGACAAATCAAAAGAAACACAAACATATTCATTTTTTTGCCTGTTGAGTGTTATACATACATACTTGTAGGTTGTTTATGGAAACAAAGAACCAGCTGAAAAGTAGAAAAGACTGAATATGAAGATCAAAACTAAAAAAAGGTTTCCTGCCTGTGAAATTTCATTTATATTCAAGTAAAACCTATATAATGTTGGTGTCGATTCTTCCTTTAAATCACCTCAGATGGAACATCCTGCAGACAACATTTCATGGATGTCTCTCCCCCACCTTGCACAGAACATCAGAGGGATGGTGGTGTAACAGGAGTCCAGGCTGAAGGTAGTCGGCCGTGGGACGAGGTGTCATAGTGAGATGCATCGTGCACCTCTGTTGCTGTGCCAGTGTCGTACATGGGAGAGCCAGCAGAGGGCACCGTGACCGAGTGAGACAGGCTGGAGTAGTGGCTGCTGGACCCTCGAAGGAACTGGAAGCTCAGGCCGTTGTTTATCTCCCCGTTCTGGGACATGGGTGTCAGAGGCGAGTTACTCACAGACCACAGGCTGGTGTACTGACTGCACAGAGAGAGGGACAGAAAACATCTTACTCATCTCTTCTTGGGATGCTGCACGGGTGCTACGTGTGCAGACATTTAAAAATCTTAGCGTAGAGGCTGTTAAGCCAGTGTTTACATAAACTTTTATTTTGCAAAGTCAATTCCTCATACTACAAAAGCATCACTCAGATTTTTTAGGGCTGTTGTTCTAATTACTTTGTAACTAAAGCAGAGTACGAACAGCTGTGTCAAATATCTCTTACCTTTTAGTAGAAATACAAACATTTCTCTTTTCTTACCACCATTATTTTAGTCAGCCCTGTGATAGAGTGGTGACCTGTCCAAGGTGTAATGTCAGCTGGGATTCGCTCCAGCCCCCATAACCCTCTTCAGGATTAGATGTATAGATAAAAGATGGGTGGAGGGATATTATTTTATCACAGTTTGCACCTGTGATCCCCTGATGCTGTAGTCCTAATTACCACTGCTGGAAAGTAACTATGTACATTTACTCAAGTACTGTGCTTAAATACAATTTTGAGGTATCTGCACTTTATTTTAGTATTTTGATTTTGTGCTACTTCATACTTACATATTAGAAGCCAGTACTGAACCTTATACTCCTCTACATGTATTGTATAACTTTAGTTACTAGTTACTTTTCAGAATCTGATTAATAAAAAAAAAAACCCTGTAATCATGAGACTTTATTGATCTGTGGTGGAAAATCCACAGGCTATCCAGCAGTAATTCAAACATCCCAGTGTTTCAGTTCTTTCCTCTGTTTCCACCTTCTTCCTGATATTTATGAGTTGATGTAATATAAACAAACAAACAGGAGCTACACAAACCTGGAGCTGGTACCAGAGGTGGCATTCTGGGCCATAGGCATTGGGCTGGAATGGGCTGGCATTTGCACACTGGACCAGTTATCATGGGTTGAGAGCATCGACAGACAGGCTGAAGAGTTATCGGAGTAACC